GGCCGGCGCGGGGCCGTGGGGTCCACTGCGCCCCCTCCCAAGAGGCACCAGACATCTGCATTCGTGGGTAGCACCCTCACTCTTTATTCTTTAGCACTGGCAGGTGGTTGTTATTTTAAAAGATGAATATGCCAGCCGGGCGTGGTGGTGCACTCCTGACATCCCAGCACTCGGGAGGCTGAGGCAGGAGGATCGCTGTGAGTTCCAGGCCATCCTGGGCTACACAGTGAGTTCAAGGCCAGCCTGTAGTACATATGAGACCCTGTCTCAGAAAAGAAAAAAAGGAAGTGGGGGCAGGACAGAAAGAAAGAAAAATTAAATTTGAATTTTTTTGGCAGTCATGGGTTGAACCCAGGCCCTTCTGCATGCTTGGCATGACCCAGCCCTGAAGTTTGGATATTAAAAAATTAGTTACAGCCGGGCGTGGTGGCACACACCTGCAATCCCAGCAGTCGGGAGGCTGAGGCAGGAGGATCCCTGTGGATCGAGTCCAGCCTGGGCTACACAGTGATTTCCAGGTCAGTCTCAACTACGTAGTGAGACCCTGTCTCCAAAATCAAAAACAAAAACAAAAATTTAGTTACAGTTCTTGCTTCAGCAGCACACTAGTACACTAGAAAATTAGTTACAGATTTTCAGCAAGTGGTAGTTTCTTACAAGATCCATCAACCAAAGACTTCTTTGAAATAAGTCTTCAATTCTACAGAATCATACAAGTTTTTCATTTTTCTTACAAGTAAAAAGGCTAGCATGTTTTTCAGTATTAAATTTTGTGGGTATTTTCCCCAGTCACGGGGATGGTACCCAGGGCCTGGTGCACCAAGGGGCACCCCAGCCCTTTTTATTTTTTACCTTGTTTTTTTAAAGACAGGTTCTCGATTTGAGGCCATGGTGGCCTCCAGCTCAGGGCAATGCTCCTGCCTCAGCCTCCCGAGGGCCGGGATGACGACCGTGTGCCACCACACACTGCTATTTTTGACTTTGAGGCAGGGTCTCACTCTGGCCAGGCTGGTTTTGAAGTCTTAGGCTCAAGCAATCCTCCTTCCTCAACCTCCAGATTAACTGCGGCCACAGGCTGTGCCACCATGGGCACCGCTTCTCTGGCTTACTGAGGCGGGCGTTGGGTGCGGGGCCCCAGTCCTCCCCCGCGGCCCAGTCCAGCCTGGCGCTCTGTCCCCACAGACCCAGGGCATCATGTACGAGCTGCTGTCGGAGCTGCACGCCCGGCACGAGGAGCTGGA